TTCTCATTTTGGGAATGGWTTTATAGATATGTGCTTGCAGGTTAATACTTCTTTTTCTTAGAAACCATTTTTAAATTGGTTTATCTCAGGGAATCCTGAAGAGCATGGGATTGGGCAAGGAAGAACAAACCTTGGTCATATGAAAATCAAACGAGCTCCCCCATTTCAATTACCCCTCTATTTGTTGTKGCTTTTTTATTTGTTTAAGACTGTTCGGGCAAAAGGTTAGGAGTGAAAAGTAAGAATTAATAATGGCACATGCACTCAAAATACTGTTACATTTGTTACATTTTAATTCCTTATATGCCAGTTGCTATTTTTCATGGGTTTTTTTCATACTTGTTAGGAGTGAAGTTCTAARTTGAATAATTAGCTGTGAATACAGGTATGCTCTGCAATTTATCTGCTGTAGAATCAGCACTGTTGGCATTTTACTTTTAAGGCAGTATGGATTTAAAAATTACTTATGTTTTATATCAAACTGGCTAGTGTTCTTTAGACTCTGAAAGGACACTGTACAGACTGCAGGATGCGGCCGATGACTCTCATAGCATATGGTTACCTTTTCATGAACTATTTGGATTGAACTTCTGTTTTTCCTACATTGAAAAATAACTTAAGAATCCAATGATTAGTCAAGGGATGAAAGAAAGTGAACTTCTTTTGTTAGTTTTATTTTTTCTTGGTTTTTTTTTTCTTTATTTTGGAGGATATGAGATTATGATTAGTAATGCGTTTTGTTAAATGTGCATCTGAGTCTTCAAGAACCATGAGGATTAATGAAGTTGAAAAAAATATAGTGAGGAATTTATGAAAGCTAAATCARGGGAAGGTATGAAATATTGGTACATTTTTAGTGGTGTATACTTATTATTAAATTCCTGCTAGAAGTGAAAATAGAAGCTGGAAGGAGAGGAGAATTTAGCATTATGGTAAGTCAATCCCAGCTACTTGGTGAGGACAAAGAGATGATGAAAGGTAGAAAATACAACACAAAATGTTCAAGTAGAAATTCTGAGGAGAACTTCAAAAGAAGCAGTATTTCCACATTTAAGTTTTAATAAAATAATTCTGTTACTCTTAATTTTGTTTCTGCATAAGGAGGAAAATGCTTCAATTTTTCATTAGTGTATGTTCATTTTACCGTTTGTTTTCCATGTGGTATATTAGAAGTGGACTACTACACAGCAAAACTTCTGATAAAGAATACAATGAAGAAAGCACAGAATTTAATATTTATTTGTTACCCTGATCCTTTCRGTAGTAGAAATCAAATGCATGCCTCTCTGTTGAATACATAGATGGACACCTTTAATATTGTGGTGTATAAATTTGAATTATTTTCATTAAGTGCTTCAGCAGCCAGTGTGTTATTGCATTTCTGTATTGKTAGCAGCAGCACTGATCGATATGTCAGTTTTGTATTTTTGCTAGAAACTTAGTACAATCTGAGTTAACTGCTTGACCTGAAATAAAACCCACTCTTATCAACCTGTATAGAGGTAGCYAGGCAATGCTGATTGAGTAGTGTAGTCTGATCTGATTCCAAAATACAGAATTAGGAGTTGGTTTTTCCTACTTTTTTTTTTGCCTTGACCTCCAAAATACGTGGATTTGGAAAGCACCTAATGTCATTATAGCATGTATAGCTGTTGTTTCATATTTCTTTTTACATGCTTTTAATGTAGGAGGTTAAAAAATATTTCACTGAAGACTGGAATTTCAGTGATGATGTCTGTAATATCAAACAGTACCTCACTTCCRGAAATAGTGTCCTGACTGACTTTTTTATTTAAATCAGACGCCTAGCATTAAAAAGTTGCTTTTGTCACTGCTTTCACTGTCTCCATAAAATACTATATGATCTAAATTCACAATGGGTAGTAATGAGGTTTTAAATTAAAATCTTTTTTTTGTGTCTTTTTACTGGAAGTATGGACRGATAATCTTAACATCCTACTGCCATGAAAAGACTAATATGTTCAGAGCTAAGACAAAAAAGGGCAGTTGTCTCCTTTTGTTTTTAATCTGTGTTTTTGTATCAGATTTTCTCAGTTTGGCTTAGTATGTGATTTTGMTTTCTATTCAGATTAATACGTAGGTGTTTGAAAAAGAAGTAATATTTGCCAGTGAACAATGTAAAAGTATTGTGGAAGAAAAGAAATTGTATTGTGCTGTAGGTAAAGACATGCCATGGGAAAGGATGAAAATTAATTCAGGAGTGATGGTCCTCGTAGACATCAAAAGGTCTGCTCCACCAGGTCACAGTGTTTCTTTCCATGTGCTGTTTGTTGCCTGGAGCACTCTGGGCTCCAGGAGTGTACAGGGGATACTCTTTGATTCTTCCCAGCTAAATAGAAGAGTAAAGTCAGATTCTTTTGGTTTTCATTAGAGCAAATTTACTTTAGAATAGTTTTCTTTCTTGGAAGTTTGTCTATGAAAAAACCTTTCAAAATTTTCTTTAGATGTTTTAGTTATATGAGGGTCTGTTACGGTTCTTGGCCATCATGCTGTCAAACTTTGGTTTTGCCCTGTTGTATTCAAAGAAATGTAAGTGAGTAAACTCAAAAGTGTAATCGGAGATTGTTCTTGTGTAGTGTCAGACTGTCCTTATGGCATCTAGACAAAAATCAGTAGATACTGAGGGAATGGATGAATTCCTGATGAGTTTTACTTGGTGAAATCTGTCAAAATGACCTCAGGTAGGAGGTTGCCCTGTATTGATCAGGTGTTTTTCCTTGCTGTTTCACTTGCTCACYGGAATAGGGTAGTCTTTTATGAACACTGCTTGTGTTTTCTGTTGTAAGAACTCAATCTTTACTCTTTTCCTCCTGTTATATGAAGTAATATATAGGTTGTGAAAGCAGAGTACAAAACAGCTGTACAGGGGAAGGCAGATGATAACTTACCTAATTTTCTGTATCTCAAAAATTATTTTTTAAGACCCTTATTTCTACATAGTCATGGTTCCCAAGTAATACTTCAGAGTTTTGGKKTTTTTTTTCCTTCCTTGTAAGCACATGAAGTGAACAGATATGAGAATAAAATTTCAATTCATTTAGAGGAAAAGATCAGGTCATGCAAAGTGATACCACAGAAAAATGCTTTGGGACATAACAGGATTTTTTCCATGCAAGTGTAACTCACCTAGYTAATGTTTCACTAGTGCTACAGCAGATGACTTTGTAGACTACTCAAGTGCGTTTGCTGCTCAGTGATTGATGTGGTATGTTTGCCTTTTGATTGATTTAAAGTGTTAAGTCAGTCTGTTGTAGAAATAAGTAATTAGTGTGCAAGTCTGACTTGGGATAACCTGACTGATTATCCTCCAAAGTATTCACAGTAAGTAGTTTATTTTAGTTGGAAATTTAGTCTCAGAAATAGAGAACAAACATTTGAAGTAGCTAGATGCACTTTTGTACCATCATGTCTCTATTCATTCTCTAAATTTCTGGAAAACACCCCATTCAAAACAGAACCCAAATATCTTTGATTTCACTTTACAAATACACATATGCTTACCAGTTTCTGCACATTGTATAATGAAACTAAGTAGTAATTAGATGTACCTGTGTACTCAGAAATTGGATGCTTTAAAGTGCTGGAGCTTTTATGAAAATGTGTGTTTGTGAATTTTTAGCTCAGAGCCAATAGTCTCTTTCACATAGGTGGGATTTTTAATGATGTTTTAAGGGTGTCTCCAAGTACAGACTTTTGTTTTGTTAAATGTTAAGTAAGTAGTAATGAGCTAGAAGGAAGACTCAAAGGAGCTGCTTACTCCAATTCCATGAGGGCCTGGGGAGTGGGAGGGCAACAAACAAAATTACTGATGCTTTCCATAGTAATGTGGATTCATACCTTTTTAAAGATTCAGCTAAATCGTCTCTGCCAGCAACAGTTTATTTTTGTAAGTGTAATAATATATCTAAAGAACAAATGTTTTGTCTTTTGAATGGTAAAAGTATAACTCCAAATTTASTGTTTTGCATGTTTTTACTCAGCATGTTTTCATTCTTTTTTTTGTCTGACATACTTGTGAACCAGATATAAGCTTAAGAAACTGAAAACCCTTACATATTTTATCAACGTTATTGTAGAATAATTAGAGGCTTATTGACTTGTTGATAATTTTTTATGTTTCTATTCACATTTCATTTTAGTTTGTGTATTTAAAGCAAAGCAGTTTGTGTATWTAAAGCAAAGCAGTTACACTTCAGTCTCAACATGAAAGTTTCATCAGTTTTGTACCACAGTTACGGTGTCACTGCTATGCAAATATTACAGATTAACGCCCTTTTGATTTAGGAAGAGATGGGGCAAAACAGAATGTGGAATTAAAACACACTCCTGGAGAAAAACACAGAGTTCTAATGGGCATTTAAGTGTGAGGGTGTTTAATTCAGATGTCATGACACTAAAATGAAGTTATGACAGAAACTTGAAATTCTTTTTCTATGCCAGGGTGATTTTTCTGTGTGTGTATTCTAACCCATAGTTTGTGTTGAGCAATGTTGTATTATTTTCCTTGAGCTGCAAATTCAGCTAGACTTAATTCTTTTCAATTCTCTCKTATAACATAGTTGTTTAGTAGCCTTACTTAATAGTTTACTGTCACAAAATCTGGAGAACTTTTGAATTCAGGTGTTTGACTTGATTTTTGGTGTTCTAGAAGTGTAAGTTAAACAGCATTCTTAGTCCATAAGACAGATACAACTTCAGTAAATGACTATTTTTGTATAAGCTTCACTGAGTAATTTCCATTCAGTTCTGCATTTATAGGCTTCTTTGTTCAGTAGCAGCAGTATGTTTGGTTCCTCATTTGCATTACTGTGTCTAACAGTCATTCAGCTTTGAGTATGGTTAAGGTACTAATGGAATTAAAATAATGCTGTGAAAACTGCAGATGTCAGATAGTTACATTTCATAGACCTAAAACATAAGACATGCATGCTCTTTTACACTTGCTTTTTGTCTATGAACAGATTTTTTTTTTTTAATAGAGACTCACAGGACAGCAGCAGGAGATAAACAGCTTAATGCAGAGAAAAAGTGCTGTGGATGAAGAAAATGCCCGTTTGAAGAATGAATTCAGTAACTTGAACCGGAAATTTAAAGATAAAAGCCAAGAACTTAAGGTATATTGACTTGTACATAGTTTCATAAGACTATAGCTTTGAAGTAGTTCTTTAAGCAATGTCAGCCTTTGTGGCACAGAAAGTGACAAGCTTGGAGAAAAAATTGCCTTAGGCCTTGCTATACCTTACCATTTTCTCACATACCAACTGAGAAAGATGCTTTAAAGCCAAGAATCCAAGCCTTATAACTTTCAGATAAATAGTTAATGATGGAAATGGAGCAAAAAAAGTAGAAGTGTGAAGATGTGGCTTCTTGTAATTAGATTCTGATGGGACTGGCATTATTAATTGATAAAGCTGAGGTCTGGGAGGATATGTCTGTGTGGGTCTCAAAAATAGCTGGGGACAGCATCAAAGGCAGCTTGATCAATTAATGGGCTCTTTGCAAATGTGTACTCATCAAAGCTGTCATCCAGCTAAAAAATATGACCCTTCCACCTGCATGAAAGAGGCCAATAAAAGTACACAGGTGACCTTGGCCATCAAATATAGAAGAAGCTGCTGTGAGGGTAAAACTGCACAGTTATATTTGCTGATTAGTTCTCACTTTTTTGTTTATCGGCCCTTGTGGTACTGTTCTACAGGACACTGAGGAGTGTGCACAGAAGAAGGAAGAGCAAAACAGACTGGTTATAAAAAACCTGGAGGAGGAAAATAAGGGATTAAATATATGCTGTGCTGACCTGCTAAGTGACCTGGAGAAACTGAGGAAGCAGGAGGCACAATGGGAAAAAGAAAAGTCCCGCAATGATGCCAGAATAAAGGTACGGAGTGGAATGGACTCCTGGATGTTATTTGAGAATTAACTTCTCCAGACATTTCACTACAAGTTATTTTCTTTAAATAGCAAGTTATATATTCAAATCTACCATTAGGGACTTGCATTCATTTACATTCTATCACTTAAGACCCACAGCTTTTTAAAAATTGATGCTGCAAAGCAGGAATCTGACTTCAAATAGTCATCTTAAAATGTAATCATTAAAAAATAAAAGATACTGTACTTTGAGATAATATATATATATATATATATATATATATGTGTGTGAAATAATAAAAGCTTAAAAGTATTACCTCAATGTTTTTCTAGATTTGTGATTTACTTATAATCTTGTTACTGTAGTCTTGATCTTTGTTGTTTTGGAAGAATATGTAGTTCCAAATACATTGCGTCCTTGCCTCCAAAGGTCTCCATTCTGTGAGAGGTCTTATTATTGCTTATAATATATTAGAAAGTTATTTTCATAGTTTATGATAAAACAAAAAAAAAAGGAAATAACTGAATACATGGTACCAAGTATTTCTCTTTTATTTAAATGATACTTTTTTGTTTTTCCTGATGGAAATTGGCTAATTCCTCTTAGAAAGGAGCCACAAACATGCTCTCTAGCAGCTCAATAGCTGCATATATACACGTCTAGGTAGTGGATTCTTTTTGTTTATGTAATTAATGTATACTTAGAATGCTGTCTTCTTTTAAATTTTCAAAGTACATTCAATGCAATAATTATCTAATTAACAGAAACACCCTTTTTCCCTGCACTAGCAATTTTGCTGATGCTTCTGATTCTTGTGGTGATGGCAACTCTTTTTAAAGCGTTTAATTAAGATCTCTTAACATGAAAGTAAAGTTCTTGCAAATTGACTTCTTCAGACTGTGTGATGAAAGAATTGTAGGGTTCCCAGGACAAGAAATGATTTGTTGATTCTTGGGAGAGAAAAATCAGTGTGCCAAACAGATAAAATAATTTTTAGGTTGTCAAATGTAGTGCTTGTAATATTGGACAAATTATTGAAAATCTGTTGCCCATGTCTTCAATGAACACAGTCAGAATAAATTTTGTCTCTGTCTTCCTGGCTGATGAGGCATGCTGATGAATGAAAGAGCTGGATGATTGCAGGGATGGGAATTACTAGTGTTGGTATTTCAGAGGGGTCTTAGAAGCAGGTCAGAGTGATGTCTTCATTGTTACAGGGGGTACTTTTGGGGATGGGTGTTGCCCGAGCCAGCCAGGGATCTCACACAGCTGTTTACTAACAAAGAAAAACTGATAAAGAAACTAATAATCAATGGTAGCCTTGCTATAATGACCATGAAGTTTTGAAGGCCAAGACCTTGAGACAATGATAGAAGGAAACAGTACAGCCCCAGAGTTAAGGAGCAGAGTCTTCAGCTGTTCAGGGAACCCATAGCTGGAATTCCATGAGAAGCAGCATTGAAGGGTGAAGAACTCAGGAAAAGGTTTCATGTCTTTAAAGACAGCTTTCTCCAAGCCCAAGTATGGTCCACTCTGATATTCAGGAAAAAGAGTAGATGTATTAGGGGATCAGCTTGGCTAGACAGACTCCAGTGGCGGCTGCAGGTAGAGTATTCAGGAAGTGGAAACAGTGAAAGCTGTTGAGGAGGACCTCAGAAACATTGTTTGGACACTGAAAGATGGTGGTAACCTTGCTTCAGTTGAGACTTGCAGATAATGACTGGCATAACCAGTTTCTTGTACTGTTTTATCATTGAAAGGCTGAACAAGGAAAATGGTGACCTGATGCTGAAATGGAACRATGAGTTAATTACAGAAGGTAATAGCTACAGCAGAGGTACTAAATAGTGTCTTTAACGCAGTCTTGTCCAAGATGTCCCCAAAAGTTTGTGCCTAGAGACAGACTTCAATGTAAAGTACTAAGTGGATGTTTTGGAAGATRCCTGAGAGAACTCGACTAGTACACGTCCGTTGGACAACCTGAAATTGGCTGCATCCAGGGTTGCTGAGAGAGTTGGCAGCCTCTCAGCCTTAAATTTTGGAGTTGAATYAGCATCTTTTTTTACATGTTTTTCACTAATAAACATGGCACTTAATAATATTATAGATGTGTTGCATACAGATGTTAACCATGTTAGTATCCTCTATCTGAAAGAATAAAAAGAATCCTTATTAACATGAGCTAGCTCAACATTGCCTTTAAAATGTGTATTAAATGGTAGAAAAGTGAGATCTAAATCACAGGTTGCACCTGAGGCTGAACTAAGTGTTTTTAACCTTTTTTATTTTTTTTTTCAGTCTTTAAACCAAGTTCATTAAAGAAAAGTGCCACTTCACACTTTCAAAGACCAGTTGTTTTTCTAACCTACTATAACCTGAATTTGGGTATAAAATTCAACCTTTTTAAATGCTGAGAGAAATAGCTGCTATTGCTAGTTTATCCTTTTAAGGAACATTTCTTTAAAATTTTGTCATATCAGCTGAAACACATTAATGCAAGGATACCATATAAGGTGGCTAAAGGCTGACAATAGTGTTTTATTGTTTGTCTTTTCTGAATGTATCTTCATATAAATAATGTAGTGTTTACAGAAGGTTAGCATAGATCTCTGCTTTCTGCCTAAAGTAGTTCTTGAGAACTTTTTTGTGTCCTTCTTTTGAGCTTCCCATAGGTTTTATCAGCTTTCTGTATTTCCTGAAAGTGAATAAGTGGAAAAGTCATCAATCAGCCAGCTGTCTCCCATCTAGAGAATCAATTAGKCATTTGAGTTATTTGGTGGTTCGTTAGGTGGAGGTTACTGAAGCTATTGTTTAGTATCAAGACAAATATGTTTTCCCAAACTCAAGTCACAAAAGGTTTTTTTGTGTAGATGAACAAGTCAGAACAGCAGATTTTAAGTGGATGGGGAGTAAAAGTCGAATCACTTACTGGTGGGCTGTTTATTTGCTTTTGTTAATTCCTAGTTCGCACAATACTTTTTGAAGTTTCTTAAGTCTGAAGGTCAGAACTTCCAAACAAACAGCCCCCTCTGTCAAGAGGAGCCTGGAATTTTAGTTCCATTGAAAAATGAGAATTTTATTGAGATGGGACCTTGAAAAATTGCTCTCACTTTTGTCATAATATATACTAGGAAAAAACATGAAAACAAAGCTACTGTCTTTGAAAATTACTTTCAAAGGGTTTGAAGCTTCCAATAACAAAAGCTTAGTGTTAATTCATAGTGACTCACTCTATAATAGGTGTCACCGTGCTACCTCATGCCTTTTTTTTGTTTTTCATGTTTGAAGTTCTTTTAAATTCATCTTTCCGTGCTGTGTTGTGCTTGTCTTCTATAAATATGCATTTTCTCTCTCATATAACTGAGTTATTTAATATTTTGAATTACTGTGTTTTAAATAGCATTTTTAAAAATAGGCTTAAAAAGTTTGAATTTTAAACAGTCCATTGAAATGGACTTTAATTTAAAAACCCAGATTAGGTGCATTTGTGCTAGGTAAATTTTCACAAATTTACCTGGCATATTTATGCAATGAACTTTTTAGGCCACTCTATGAACAGAAAGGGAACATGATAAATTCCATGTGATCTTAAAAAATTCAGATGCCTGGAAATTGAGTGTAAAATATTATAGGTTATTTCATAGTCAAAAATATGTTGACAAAAAACTCAATATAAGCCAGCAGTGTGCCCCTGCAACCCAGAAATCCATGTGCTGGGCTGCATTGAAAGAGGTCTGACCAGCAGGCTCAGAGAGGTGATTCTCCCCCTCTGCTCTGCTCTTGTGAGACCCCACCAGAATTCTCGTGTCCCCAACATAAGACATGGTACTCCTGGAGCAAGTCTGGAGGAGGGCCATGGGGAGACTGGACCATCTTCCCCAGAAAGACAGTCTGAGAAAGTTGTGGCTGTCCCGCATGGAGAAGAGGAAGTTCTGTGGAGATCTTGTAGCAACTTTTCAGTATCTGACAGGGAAGCTGGAAAGGGACACTTGGTGAGGAGCTGTGGTGAGAGGACAAGGAGGAGTGGGTACAAATTGAAAGAGGGGAAATTTAGGTTAGAGATTAGGAAGAAATTCTTTATAGTGAGGATGAGGAGGCACTGGAACAGTTTGCCCAGGGACGTTGCCAATGCCCCAACCCTGGCAGTGATGAAGTCCAGGTTGGATAAGGCCTTGAGCAGCCTGGCCTGGTAGGAGATGTTCCTGTGGCTGGGAGGTTGGAACTAGATGACCTTTAAGATCCTTTGCAACCCAAGTCATTCTATGATTCTGTTTTGGATTTCTGATTTCAGTATGCAGTGGAGTTTCTGCTTATCAATATATAATATTTCAGTACCTGAGGTATTTGTATGACAAGTTTTCCTTTCTCTGTTTTCATGTTTTGCTCTTTCAGTAATGCTTCTAAAGAATTCAAGCTTCCAAAATACATTCAAAAGATTGAACTCATTAATTTATTTGAAAGCAAATGCTGAAGTCATATATGTCACAAGTAAAGTACTGAGAGATACTATTCTCTAGTTTTAAATTTTGCTATTAGATAGCTTCTAAAGTTGTATTAATGATAAAATAATGTGTATCTTTGTATTGTACCCTTCAAGGGATGATGAGAACTCACAGCATTGGTAATATTAGGTTTTTTTACTCTATTCCATGGAAAACTTCTGCAACTCTATAGTGTGATATTAAAAATAGGCAATTAGAATTTATTCACAGAATAGATGAACTATGGCAATTTTTGTTCAAATAGTCAATATCTTTAGCTTCAGTGGAAACAATAAATACTGAGGGGAAAYCCTAGGATTATTTGCAAATTTTAAATACTTTATTGCACTTAAAAATTTCACATGTTGATAGTAAACTGTCTGCTATAATTTTTAAATTTTTCATTATTCAAGGAAAAATTAAGTTTTTCTGGCTAGCCTTTGACATTGATTGGTAACTCATTAGTTGGGTACATCAGGTTTATAGCTTGATAACTGTCAAGGAACAAATTGGATTAGATTTCCTACCTCATTCACCTGTGAATTTTGCTATTTCCTCACATCAGTGTTACTGTTAGTAGCAAGACATGATAGTTCTTGTACAATTTCAAGGAATTTGATTGTAGTACACTTCTGATAATCTAAAAACCTATAAGATATTTTAATGCAGTTTTGAGGAAATGAATTTATTTAGATTTTAATAATTCACTTTTCAGTTATAGAAATATTTTGATAACCTCAGTATTTGAGTTATCATTGCTGAAAGGGAAAAATGTGCATTTTTTTAGTTGTTTAACTAAGTCGGCATGTAAATGGAAAACTAATATACTCTTGGCAGTAGATTACTGATACTATTCATGAGAAGGCTTTTATTTTTAATTATTAATGAATCATGGAATGTTTGCCTCACTGAGARCGAGTGATTGCATCGGTGAGTAGCATAATACCAAAGCAGGTCTAAGGCTGTTGCCACTTTCTGAAATTCTGTTCTGGATATTGCTGCAATATTTATATTTCCATTGTTGCCTCAAAACACTCTGGGGGAAGAACAGTCATACAAAGCTTCCTGAGGACTGCTCTTCTGAGGGAAGTCTAGCAAGGTTTATGTAGCGATTGAAGTATCGTTTGAATAAGCTGCCTGCTTCCTGGATACACCTTTACAGTTTGCTGACTAACTTCTACCATAAGGCTTATGGTAAAAAGCAGACCCTTGCTTGTTTGCATTGTCTTCAGTGAGCACTTTCTGAAATTTTCTTGTATGCTGTTTTTTTCCTGAAGAAACTATTCCTCGCATTGAATTGGCAGTGTAAAATAAGAGCAGATTTCACAAGCAGTTTCAAAAATGAATCTATATTTATTATTCTTAGTTCRGATACAAAATATTGTGAATTTTTGTGTGAGCTTAAAACAGTGAAGGTATAGGTGCTTTTTTTTAGGAGCTCCTATGAAGAAAACAAGGTTTAATCAGTTCAGTAGTTAAATAGGGAGCTACTGTTTTGGAATAATTTGATTCAGTATTCTCCTTCCACATGCAGCAGTTGAGTTAAGGGAAACTTCTTAGAATAAAGAAGAGGTGGGCACATGAAATTTGAAATACACCTTTTCCGGTGTTCCACATTTTTCATACGTTCACATGTGCTTATATSCATTTGTGTATATCACAAGAAATGTGTGCTTGTGTGTATGTGTACATCCATATATCTATATGCATAGATAACTTGCATAGCAGATATTAATTATTTCTTCTACATAATCTTTAATGCATTTCAAATGCTTTCTTTGCAGAATTTGGAAACTGATTTAGCAGAGACAAGAGAACAAACAAAAAGTTTGCATAGTATATGCARTAACTTGTCAACTGAGGTAGCTATGAAACAAGAAGAACTTTTCCAAAAGGATTGTTATGTGATCAAAGCCAAGTAAGTATTTTGTAATAACTTTAATTAAAGTCTGAACCCTCTTAAAAAGACTATTGTTCGACTTACAAAGCAGTATTAAGCTTTGTATTAGGTATTAAGTATTAGGCTTTAAGCCTAAGTTTAACTTTTCAATTTTAGTCAAATCTGACAACTCAGCAGAAGTCTACGTAGTTCTGTGCTAAAGGTTTAAAGTGCAGTGATTTAAGCTTTATCTTAGGTCTCCCACARTATTTCTTTACACTGAATCCCTAAGATTAGTGCTGCAGTATTTGTGTCTTGGAAAAGAAGTCAAGGACAGAATGAATTACATGAATTGAATGGACTACTGAATTCCCCAGAATGAAGGTAATGTCAGAAGATAACTAGTAACTTTAAGTGGATTGTCAGGAAATTGTCCATTTTTTTTATTCTTAGTTTCAGAGGCATGCACAGTGTTTCACTTGCATGTTAGATAAAGAATATTCCCTTCAATATTCCTTCAAAATGTGGTTTTGCCTGAAGAGCTGAGTTAGTTGGATGCTTCTCTTAACTTTACAAGCACAAGTAACCTTTCTTTCTGCAGGGAGTCAGTTTCTAARTGTTTTTCTTAAAAATACAAAACCCAAGAATTATGATTTTTGGTGCATCTGACCAAAATTGTCATCTTGAACAGTTGAAACCTTTACAAGAAAARATATGTCTTGTTTTTTTTCATGTTTAAAAGGAATAATACCAGTTGGGTTTAAAAAGTCAATGAAAGTGGTAGGCAAGCTTATTGGGAAATAGTATAGTAAGAGACAATCAATGGAATTTGTGAAATTCAACAATGGGGTAATAGAATTTATCTCCTGAAATTATTTTCAGAAAAATATATTTATGTGAGGACTAGGGACAGCAAAGAAGGCATTTTAGAGTAAAGCAATCAAGTTTGCAAAATCACTGGTTACTGCCTTCAGCTTAGGATATTGCAGTCTGAGTTGGCCAAATCATTTAACTTCAAATTTCTCATAATGTATTGTTYGCTATTCATTGCAAAAGAACCTCTTAGAATTTGGCATAAGTATCTCATTAAAATGCAAAATTAAAATAAGGTCATTTCTGAACATAAGGTCTGAACATGCAGTAATAAAGAGATACAGCATACGTATTTTAAAGTGAAATATTTTTTCTGTTTCTCTATATGAACAATCTTCTAAATTCACGGAAAACAGCTTAGTATAAACCCATTATATGGGGGGTTTGTGTCCTTTAATGTTTCCCTTCCTAGAACTCAGTGGTAATTGCAATGAATAGTAGTATTTTTTTATATCATTTATGGATGAGTTATACTTAASATGTTCTATACGTATATGTTTGATCAGTATCATTAGAATTTAGTGGCTYCTAATTTTTGTCTGTTAATCCTTCTCAATGAACTTCAGCTACAAGTTTCTTGGAAACATTTCTATCATGAAGAAAGAAGGCTTAAGCTGCAGCTTATGTTGCATAAAATTCACAGTTTCAGTAGTTAGCAATATATACCAAGAATTGCAAATATTCTGTACTTCTATAGTATAGAATACTGAAATTTCTCATCTTCCTAAGATGTCAGTATGTAGAGAAGACTACTTTTCTGTTGTTTCCTCAATGAAAAAAAATAAAAATTATACAAGTCTTTGTTAACGAAAGACAAATTTTTATTTAGGTTGAAGTAGCAACTCCTCAGTTAAAGGGAAAAATTGCAAGAGAAAAGGAAGTCTTTCCATCTTCTCGTCTTGCTATGCTGAAGTCTTAGAACTGCGTTGACTTTATGATTAAAGCATTTATTTTTTTCTTTTTTTTGGTAACTTTTTTTTAAAAAATTCCTGCTTAAAATTTAGTCTAATAAAATTATCACATTGAGTGCTTGGTTTTCATTTGATGCTGGCAGAAAATCCTTTGACAAATAGTGTGGAAAATATCCCATTCTTCTTGCTATCATCAGTTTCCCATCACTAATTTCAAACCTTTAGAGTTGAAAAAGACTATCTGACTTGCAAATGCATCTGTTYTCCCAATTGCTCTGTGTCATTATTTGCTGCCCTTCTACCTTCCCCACCCTCCTATTCTGTGAAAACAGATCAGGAACACAACTGTAATTATTAAAAATAAGTTCTGGAAGAAGGAAAAAGGCAGYTGGCTTTGTACATTTGGTGTCTTCTTTCATATGCAGCATAGATAGATTCAGAAAAATGCACCTTCTATTGACACCCTGGTAATACTGTCCAAAATTTTTATGCTAGGTGCCAAAGTAAATGGGAAAAGGAAATCTCCAAAGGAATATGTGCATACTGGGCTAGTGCTCTGTTTCTTGTGCATTCATAACTTGCTCTGTTGTGCATGTCTGTCAACTTGTTAGCAARAGTTTAATGGTAGATGTCTGTAGACATGAAGAGAATTGTTTTCTTCCACAGGTTAGCAGAGACCAAACTTTGAAGAAATACTCCAGTCTAACTCTGGTTGTACAGGATAAGAGGTGTTTTTGAAAATACTGCCATGTGTCAGTAAAAGTCTGCCACATTCTTTTGAGGTGTGGAAGATAAATTTTCTTGGACTAGTGAACAAACAGTATTTACATATATATCTTCAAGAAGATATATATGTATATCTTGAATATCTTCAAGATATCTTGAATATCTTCAAGAAGCCACTACATTTCTTTTTTGGCTTAATTTTTGCAAAGCACTCTTCATCTCTCTAGGTTTGATTTCAAAGTTCTGAATTACCTGTGAAATTCATTTTCTTATTACATTTTTCATGTTTGCATTCAGTACAGATTTTCTGRTAACCTTTCCATTTTCATGTTCTCAAACTTGACACTTTTTGCTTTACATTTATGCTGCATAGCAGGGTCTAGAAGTCTGTAGTCTGATACAGAGCTCTGATGCGACTGTGAACATCAAACTGGAGAGGTTTTGCTTGACTCACTGAGGCTTGAGCCTTGCTGTCTGTTAAAAAGTTATTAAACTGTTTGTAAATATAGCAAAATCTATTCTAAAATGGATTTTAATTTCGTGCCCCTGTGTTTTTAGTGGAAATGTGGGCCTTGACTTTATTTCTTTGATTCATATCTAGTCCAAACCTATACCTCATATTCTCCAACCAATTGTTTTTATAATATTATTGCTTTTTTTATTCCCCCACTTTGAGTGCCCCTGCTCTGCCCCCCACCCCTTCCAATGCAGTTGCTGTTAACTTCTGTGCTGAAAACTATGAGGCAATCAGATTTTCACTCTGGTCTTATTTTGCTGCTCTTGGACTTCTCAGGTTATTCTTTGCTGTGTACTGTAAACCATTTGGTATAGTTTTGGTGTAATTTTTGGTATAATTTTTTGCCATTTCCATAAGAAGTCATAATTTATAGGACCTATCACTGTGYTGTATGTTTAAACTACAGGTAATGTAATCTGGAGATTTCTTGAATTACCCAAAACTGTCTTACATTCCTTTGGTGAGAGGGGCAGCTGAGGTGCTCAAAGTCCCGGTGTATTCAGCAAAATTTGGTGGTGAAACAAAGCTAAGGACATCACCTGAAGAGATCTGTGTGTTTTTTATTCTGTTTGGAGTACAGTTATATAGCCAGTGGAATGACAATAGCTATTAATTTCATTAATTAATGTGTCCAGAAAGTCACAGGTCACTCTAAAATCATTGGTAGGGGCATACAGGGACATAAAAGTTTTATTTAATGTTTTAAGGACAGAAGGAAATGTCAGGTGTGAGCGCCAGAGCTGTCTCTACCCTAAGGTGTAGTAATGACACTTAAATATTGTTACTGGCAGGACAAGGTGTCAAATCTTTTGAGTCTTGCTACAGTCTGCTTTGTAGTGTCTTCATGTAGCATCAACCTTGCAATGCTGAAAKCAAAGCCTACTAAGGTTACTGTAACAGCAACCTTCAGTGATGAAATAATTTAGTAATGCTCTTCTATTTTGACTTGAGAAAGACTGGACTGTTTTTCGCAGCACACTCTTTCTTGTTGCTTGAAGAGTGCAGGTCACTTTCTGTAAATTTCTTTATTTTCCATTGTATTCATCTTGAGGTATGAGATTGGAAAGAGAGCTGTTTTTTTCCTATTACCTGCTGCCTTTGCTCTTAAATGGACTTAAAAGCTCTCAGTGTATCACAGTGTTAGTTTGTTGGAAGTATGGGGGTGATGGAAAAAAGTAAAGAAGTGTTTCAGTTTGGGTTTTAGCTGACAGAGTATTGTTCTTTAATTGCTGATGGAGACTTTTCTTAAAATGTGTTTCTTTAGAGTGTATGGTATATTGAAACATTTTATCAGGGTGTGCTTATATTTGCATTTTTATATCTATGTATGTACACGTTCACATATAATTTATATATTTTTGTGTGTAGATGTATATATTTTTATATATCTGTATATATGTATAGGTGCCTGTATACATATGTGGGTGTGTATAATAGCACTTAATATTTTAAATTCCACTTACTACCTTTGTTACATTTAATTAGTAAGTTTTGTTTATTTCTTCTATTACAAACTCACCCAACTATAATTTTTCTGAGCACTTGACATCCTTATCCTGCTGCATGATAGACACATGTCTGTCTTGTGGAGTGTTGAGTGTTTGCTGCTTTCAGTGAGCATGTTAATAAGTATTTTGACCTTTGCTACTTTCAGTAAGCATGTTAATAAGTATTTTGATCAGAAATTAATTTTTATGTTGTAACAGTTTTTCTGATTATCATGAAGTTGATATTTTGAATGCTCTTGAGCACAGGACAAGCAAAATATTAACAGAATCATAGAGAATCACTGAGTGCCTGAAACTGGCAGATGCTTTTGGTGATTGTGTAGTCTCACTCCTTCAGCAGGTCCAGCCCTCTGTTCTAGCAGTATCACCTTGAGCAGGCTGCACAGTACTGTGTCGAGTCTGAGTATGTCCAAGAATGGAGGCTSTGCAACATCTCTTCCAATGTTTGTCCACTTCTAATGGATAAAAATAATTTTATTATGTTTAGCTGGAATTTAATCTGGGKTTTTTTTTGTGTGTGCTTATTACCTCTTTTTTTTGTCACTGATTACCACTTACAAGAGGCTGGCTTATTCTTCTTTCTAGATTCCCATCAACATATATCACTGAACTTTCCCTTCTCCAGGCTGAGCAGACACAGCTTTCCCAGCCTCCCTGTGTATAGCAGATGGTTCAATACYGTAATCATCTTTGTGGCTCTTCTCCTGCCATGTGGGCTCACTCCTGCCATGTCCCTGAATCTCTTGTGTTGGGGAGCGCAGAACTGGACGCAGCACCAAGATGTGCCTTAAAACTTCTGAATAGAGGGGAAGGATCACATCCCTAGCCATGCTGGCAACACTGGTCTCTCTGCAGCTCAGGCTGTCATTGGCATTTGACACAAKGCCATGTTATTGGCTGATGGTCATCCAGGTGTCCACCAGGATTTCCAAGGCATTTTCTGACAAAGTGTTTTCCAGCTTGTCTGTCCTGAGATTGTGCTTTTACCATATGATTATTATTCCCCAGGGGTGGTAATTTGCACTTGTCTTTGTTGAACTTCTTGAGGTTCCTGTCAGGCCATTTGTGCAGTCTGTTGAGGTCCCTCTTGRTAGCAGCATAAACATCTGTTGTGCCATGCCCCATTTTTGTGTCATCAGCAAAGTTGCCACAGTGCATTCTGCCCTGTTGTCTGGGACATGAATGAAGATGTTGAAAAGTGTTGGCCCCAGTGCTAGCCTGGACTCCTCAGGTCTTGAACTGGACTTTGTGCCATTGATCCTACTTCTTCAAGCCTGGTAATTCTACCCAGTTCAAGGGAACTTYGCCATCTACTATCTAAAGCCCATACCTCATCAGTCTGTCTGTGAGCATTTTATGGGAGGCAGTATCAAAAGTCTTACTACAATTAAGGAACACCCGCTGCTCTCCCCTTATCCGCTGAAATAGTAAATTCCTCAGGGAGGGCTGCTAGGCTAGTTGGTTAGAGTAGGGTGCTAATAACATCAAGGTTTGTGGGTTCAATGCCTGTAAGGGCCATTTACTCAAAGTGTTGGACTTGATGATCCTTGTGATTCCTTTCCAACTCAGAATATCCTATGTATATTATTTCCCCTTATGCTGACTCCCAGYGATCATCTTCTCCATTATATGGACCATCACCTTCCCAAGATGTGGTTGACTTCTCAAATTTCTCAGAAACTTCTTTTTGAACATAGGCCTTCCTAAAGAGCATGGATCTAWGCGTGGCAGTGCTCCAGTCATGTGAGGTGTCCCACTTTGTCTCTGTGATCCCAATGAGTCCAGAAAATACAGGCAGATCTCTCATTCCTCCTGTCATCTTCCRTGGAATGTTCTGTGTGCATTTGAACAGCAGCTTCAGATAGACACTCAGTTGCGCYTGTTTCCCAGTGTGTGGAAAATCACGCTGTAAAGGCCAGTGTCCAAAAAGGAGATGGAGGAGTCCTACAAGAATCAACTTCATTTGAATAAAGGGAGAGAGTGCACTATACCTCTGTGGGGTCCCTCTTGAATTTCTGGAGGACACAGCCTCCTTTTATCCTAAACTTCTTCCTGTATGTTGCCCTCCTTCTTTCCCCCTTGGCTGAGGTACTGCGAAGGTACAGCCTTCCCAAATTGCCTGCTACATATTCCCTATTGGAAGCCAGTTGTACAGCTGTCAGAAAGTGCTAGTATATAACTGTGTCCTAATTTCTGCTGCTGTGCTTCTGAACATATGCAATACATAATGCAGTTCCACTTTGGTTTTCTTATATCAAGAGTCCTTAGTGGTAACTCCTGTTAGGTACTTTACAATTTATTCAGAACAGTAGGACTTAGTGTTAAGTCCTTGTAAACATGATTACCATATCCTTAAGTGTTGTCCTGTGTTGCTCTGTTCACAGGCTTTCTGAAATGGTGCTTTTCACAAAATTAAATTGTTTGATTGTTGTATTGTACATGTAATTGGAAGTCTTATATGATTATTCAGATGTATCTGTATTAAACAGGTTGCATAGGTTTTAAGAAAAAAAWTTTGGGAACTTACCTTGAAATTGTTCATTTGTCATTCTGTATTTTCCCTGGAAAAAAAACAATGAAATTGGTCTTGCCGGTTACCTTTTGTACACTAGTCTTTGCCTGGACATCTCCAGCAGTCTTAGAAAAATGCAATGATAACTCCTATTGTTAATGATAATTCCAGGCACAAAAATGTTCCATATATGTTGGAGGTTACAGAGACAATTCTTTGAGGAAGTAAGGAAGTAAATTAGTTGGAGTGCTGAATACACGTTTTGGTGTCTGAATTCAGTACTAGTATGAAATGTGCTTGTGAATTTAAAGGGAATTAATAGAAAATACATAAATAGGGATTAATAGAGTATTCTGAGCTTCTAATATATATTGCAGAAAATATTTAAAGTGTTAATCACTGTTTATAGAAAGTGTTACTGTACTTTGACCTTCATTTAGAAAACCCAGCCGTAAAATTTTCAAGAAAACCGATTATGTTAGATCTATCCTATGGTTGCATTACAAAATCATTCCATTATTGTCTTTTTCAGGCTTTTATTATGTTCTATGGTATGCACCAAAGTTTTTGCTTACTTTGTTTACGGTTGTTGCAGTATGTCATATCTGCCGACAAAAAGCAATTTAGCAGCAAACATGCTTTATGTGTCTAGGGAGTAGATGCATTTCAGAAAAAAAACTTGCTTCACACATACTCTGCAAGTTCAAGAAAAAGTTTTATCTTTTTCTGATTTTTCTAGGTTAAAAAATAAAGTTATTTACAGTTGATGTTTTCTACATATTTTACATTTTGACATGTACTCCTAAAGAGTTAACTGAGTATTGATTAGAAAACTATGCATTAGTGAAAATTCATTTATTTTACAGCAGTTAAAGCATTAGAGGGAAATTGAAAGGCATTCCATTTAGAAAGTTAACTGTTCTGTAGATATTTCTCACAAATGTATGATAAATATTTTATATGTAACTTACAGTGTTTTTAAGGGAAATGACAGAAAAATAAATGAAGATAGGAAGCTCATTATCTACAATAAAATTATTTGCATACAATTTTTAACAGAGGTTGTGATTCTTTTTCTTAATTTCTCTTAATTGCTTATTTTGCACAGGAAGGAATTAGAGGAGCTTCAGAATCTTTACAGACAAAACATTGACTATACAACACAGCAGGCTGAGCTGATAAAGCAGTTACAGGCTCTCAATGCTGATACACAAAAAGTACTGCAAGACCAAGGATATTCTCACACAGCTAAAACAACATCATATCAAAAAGTATGTAATTCTGCTTTATTAACATGGGGTTCATTTTAATATTCATCTGTACAATATCAATGGCCAGAGTAATCAAAGCACTTTGTATTCTTTATATCTCTGGCTTTTTATTATTGCCAAAATATAGTTGAGTGTCAGAGTTTATTGTCCTGATTGCATACTAGCATATATGGCTCCTTGCATACATTGAACTGATGAGCCTTAAAAATTAATAGGATTGAATTGCCAAGCATGTAAGTTTATCCAATTTGGTGTTAACTGTTTTTCTTCTTCTTCCTCTGGAGGACAGAAGCTTTCATTTACTAAATTCTTAGAGTTGTTTTTCATAGTTTAGGGGACAATATTCTTTTCACTTRTAAACGAAGTGTGTGAATCCTCAAGCATTTTAGTGGCTTAAGATACAAAACCTACTCTACTCTAAATTAAAAATTGTTACTATAATATCTTTTTAAATGGTTAACTAGTTCAAAAAGTTGGAACAATATGTACATTTGCAGAACAGTTTTTCATATTTTCGTTGAATGTCAGAAAAAATATTAACCCTTACAAGCTGTCACACATGCACTACTCAGAACTACCTTTAGGTTTTCAATATTAAAAGATGCAGAACATGTTTGCTTCCTTTTTAGAAAGATTAAGAAGGAAGAAGACACGGAAGAATTTGTATAAACAACTTTCATACACGTTCTACTGTCTTGGAACTACTTTTTCAAATTGTGTGTTGTCAGTGGTTTTTCCCAGAAAGAAATTTCTTCCCTTTATCATGTTACTTAAAGTGTGCAGTTTGTGATAAAATTTTGAAACTAGGCCTGAGTCAAGCCAGAATCACTGCTAGCATTCTACAGATGTGTTTGGTTAGTGTTTTATAGCTCATAGTGTCCAGCACATTCTTGCCTGCCTGACACTGTACCTTGTACCTGTACCTGACATGGTTTGCTAAGGTAGTTATAAATTCTGTGGAATATCAGCATAAAGAACCACTATGTTTAAAAAGGAGGGGAAAGGTCCCAAATACCCTACAAAACTCTACAGTTTGACTACAGTGATGATAGATATTAAATCTCTTAYGCATTGCAATAGTAGTCCTGTGAAGCTACAGGAGACTTTCCATCAAAGTTGTTCAGAACATGTAYAAGGCAGAGGTATTTATCTTGCTGGGGCAAGACAAAGTAAATTCTGGAATGAGAGAAAAGAGAATATAGGTATCTAGAGCTGCTGGTTTTTTTTTATTTTTGATCCTCCMGTCAATGTTTCTGAAGGTATCAAGTGGTTCCTCTGAGTCACACAAAAAAAAWAAATAAAGAAGTGGTGAAAATGAAGACACTATGAAGTGTCTTCACTGGTGTCTATAAAAGTGAACCTTTCCACACAAGCTCTACATCAATACAATATGAAAGAAATTAAAACTGGGTTTTCATGACACTGTTTTAAAGCATGACAGAGCKTCTTAATAAAGGTTACTTTGCCTTGCACAGTAGTGATTTTGCCAGTGTTTTTTCACTTTGAGAAAGAATTTGACCTGTCMTATGAAAAATAGGTCCTTAAGTTGTATGTAAAATCGATGGGTGTATTGATATAGCTRTAAGGTTGACCTGCTTGTAATCTGGGCTTGGTTCAATATTTGGGATTGTTTTAGAAAGCTACTTCACAGTTCTGAGTCTGTCTTAGGCAAGATTTAAAGCTTATACCTGTCTTATAACAACAGTGTGGTTTAGAAGATGAGCACTAATTTTTGGTAGCTGCTAAATACTTCCAACTTATAGATGACCCTGAMATTTGCTGGTTTGGATGTGTTGAATTCAATAGTTTTTCAACATGGTGGAGTAAGGTTTGCCTCTTAAACCAGCAAAAGTTAACTCAGATATTCTGAAAAATTACTATTGTGGAATTGCAAAGTTCATTTTTCAGCATATCAAACCTGAAAAAATGTGAAAAAAAAGGAAAAAGGTGAAAAAAGGAGCAAATGAAGTTCCCTAAGTCAGAGTGGAGTAGAGCTAATGTTGATGGCAAGCTGAGTTGAGAGAACTTTGGAAGGGGAAAAGAATTCCTTTTTCATGACAGTCCTATTTTGTATTTCTGAACAGAACTGTATAAAACAGCCAAACGTAATTGCTTCAAAGAAATGTGGATTTTTTGACTTGCAAGATATGCACTCCTACTGAAGTCACAGCAGGCTTTTGGAAAACTCAGCATCTATAGAAATAATACAAATGTCTATTTTTTTCCATTGAATGAGAGAGGCACAAACTATTGCAGACAAATCTGTGTTCTGTTTGTCTTCCCTGCATTAATAATATGCAGTCTGCAACAGCTAGATAAGGATGTGTCAGCTATTCCATAAATACAGTCACAAAGGAATATTTTCCTACTTCTTCAAATGGCATTGAGCCTATCAGCGTGTACATCCTATGATATATTGTCCCTTACAGCAAGATCAATGACCTCTCTATTAGTGGTCAGATAGGCACTATGTGCTCTAGCTCAGGCAGTTTGGTTGGCTCACAGATTCAAAGTTCACGTTAACAGTCTACCACTGAGCAGAACAGATTTTTGTGCTGATGTTACTGTATAGCATGAAACAGTAGACTAAAAAAAAGGAAAAAAAAAAAACATTTCTGATAAACCTGAAGTCATAAACTTGCACTGGATTGTGTGTAAATCCACTGAGAACCACAAATTCTCTTTCAAGTCCAGCTGTAGTGAGCATCATGTAAGGATCTGTAATCTGTTTTATCAAGTTGGGTTGACTTGTCATACCTTTTTCTCTCTTAAGTACAGATTTTAAGGATGCTATGTTCTACAATAACTCGTTTACATTAGAGATTTTATGGAAACAAATTGATGTCTATTTCATATTGCACCTGTAGTTCATATTCTCAAGGATAGAGAATATTTTTCTAAAATGTGTAGCATCTGCTTTAGTGGTCCCAAATGCTCTGGGGACTTCATTCCTATGCTGCATTTAATGAGACTCAATAGATTTGTCCTCACCAACGATTTCAAGGTGGAGAGATTTCAATCAATACTAGGGATAATAAGACAAGAAGAGATGCTAAAGTCCTTTACCAGCTTATCAGAGTTTTCTGAAATTTACAATTTAAGGCCTTTGTTTTTATAATGCGGTACTTTTACTTGATCTGATATGATCTTTAGGATCCGTGTTAATCATACTGATTAAAAGTCTTTCACTGGAAGGCCTTTTTAGTGGAGTGGAAATACAGTTATCATTCAACAGGAAATTATAATATATGTCCTGTGACTTAGCTCTCAAATAGACAATTATGRTATAGTGCATGTCTGTGGATGAAGAAAACCATTGCTCAATAGTTAGATTTTTGGTGTAATTAGAAAGCATGGTAAGAGTTTTCAGTTATAAGGCATCTCTAAATGGTAGGGATAGTACAGGTTCCTAATCCCATTGGAATAAAAAGCCTAAATTCACACATGATAAAGCAGGGGAGATATATGTACAGTCAAATATGCTGAAGCCCACCTAAGTGAATTGTCATTTTCCTGTCTACTTTGGGAAAGATGTGAGGCTCTCAGATCTTTAACAGATTTGTATACTTTAGCTGAAGCTCAGATACTGTTTCCTATTGTTGGAAAGTGTGTTAATTAAGGTAGTCTTTGTTACTKGTATGACAAGCACCAGTACACTTGGTCACATTCTAGCAAGTAGATTTTGACATCACATTTACCCATAGGTTAAAATTGAAGAAATCCTGGGTAGACTCTGGTTCTCTTAGAGTGGTGTTAAATTGTGCAGTCACAGACAATGATTTTCATGCTTGAACAGTAGTTCTTGTGTGTAATGGTATAGATTGRTATCTGCAGAATATTCAAGTATTTGTGGGGAAAAGAAGTAAATATAGATAAAATAAATATCATGAAGGTGCTACATTTAGTCCATCTGGACTTTTCACCTTCATCCTAGAGTTTCTTCAGCTGATTTCTGCCCTTATTCTTTTCGAGTTGTCATAAAAAGGATGRGTTTTAGCATGGATTTTTGTGATGGTGGTGTAATAATTTCCATTATAGTTTTACTGTGTCTTAATTTAGACTAACTGTTAAAAATTCATGTCATTACTATGTGTTCAATGTTACTGTGTGTTTGAGTTCATAAACAATTGGACGTGACATTTAGTACTATGGTTTAGTTGATGTGATGGTGTTGGTCAGAGGTTGAACTTGATCTTGGAGGTCTTTTCCAATAAATAGCATGGGTTCATTATTTAGTTTTACTAGGTTTTTTTTTTCTTTAATTTTCTCAGCTTTCCTTGGTCTGACAAAAGATAATTTTGCCATCACACATATTCGATGTATGTCACTACTTCCTCTTCCCACCATTATCAGGCTGTGATATAATTTCTGTTACACGTGAGCAGGCATTTGAGTTCCATCTTTTGGTTCAGGAAGTCCTCTCTTTGGTTTGGCATTTTTTGGTTACAAGATCACATTATGTTTTCATAATGTGATAACCTTYATTTCAAGTAACTCTTCAAAGGTGCACCCAAGAAGTGTTTTCTGGTGAAATCAGATAAATAATTACCAGAAATCATAAGAACAGCTAAGAAATATGAAATGCCTTATTTTTTTTGTATAATTCAGCTAAATTATTCACTTTTCCTTTGTGTTATATAGACTAAATTGATCACAGTGTACTGATTTCTGATACCTTTAATGTTTTCTCATTTGTTTCACCTGTAACAGTCCATGCTGTCTGTCAGAGAAAGGACAGCCATAATATGYTAAGAAGAAATTCTCCAAGTAGTCTGTCAACAGTTTTTGCAGAGCAGTTGTGTTTTGCTTGCTGGTGCTTTTTTTTCCCCCACTACCAAATGCCATAAGATGTTGTAAGGAATTATTTTAAATATTTTCATTTTAATTTCTGTCTTATAAACACAATTTATTTTTAGAACTTTTCTTGGGTATCAAAAGCTTTACTGGGTAAACTGACATCCTGTTGGCATTCAAGYAAGGTATAAATGTTCCCATACATA